AAGGGGAGCTTAGAGCCTTGCCCAGGGGAAGGGAGTGGCGAGCTCTGACAGAAATAGCACCAGGGCGGGGCCCTCGGGACCAGCGACCAGCAGGACCGTCCACAGCTGTGCTCTGATTCCCTCTCCAACCGGAAGCATCTTTTGGGAATCACATAAGTAGGCCAAGGTCACAGCTGCAGGGACGGTGGCCCCGTCACAGGCGATCCACCTGGTGTTCGTCTGTCCTGGGGACAGGCTGGGGAAGGGCCGGTCACTCGTGTGCCTGTGCCAGAACGCGAGGCAGGACAGCTCTTGTGTTGGACCCTGGGCTCCGCTCATACCTGCCCCACACAGCAGGGGACCGGCTGCTGCCCCGGCTGCAAAGACATGCAGTCAGTGGCCGTGTTTGCTCTGCAGCACTAGGGGGCTGGATACTGGGACTGTGTATTGCACTACATCACCAGCTCTTTTTATTTTCTGAGACACGGTTCTCCTATGTCACTAAGTTGCCCAGGAACTTGTGACCCTCCTGCCTCAGCCTCCTGAGCTGCTGGGATTACAGCCACTGCACTGCCAAGCCAGACTGCAGGTGGTTTTAACCGGTTGAGCTGTCTCAGAAAAGCAAATTCACGGGCCGGGGGTATAGCTCAGTGGCATAAGCGCCTGCCGGGAAAGTGCAAGGTCCTGGGTTCGATTCCTGATACCAAAAAAAAAAAAGGAAGAAAAGCAAATTCACAGAGAAGGAAAGGGCAGCTGTGGTGGGTCCAGCCTGAGATGGGGTACGCCCTGTGTCCTTGGTTATGAGTGACCCTTTCCCCACCAGTGAGCCATAGCCAGAGCCCTGTGCTCCTGTCACTCACAGCCAGTAGAGAGGCCCTGTGGGGCTGCAGAGGAAGTGTCAACGCACCTGTCCAGAAATGTCCCGGGCAGGCATTGCTGGAGGGGCAGGATGCCTTCCTGGACCCGCAGCACAGCGGTGAGCAGAGGGGGGACGCGTCCTGAGTCCCCAGGGTCAGTGTGCAGAGGGTAAGCCATCGGCGAGCTAATGGGTCCGTGGGATTTATTTGTTGTTTGTTTATTTGGGGATTTTTTGAGACAGGGTCTCATTACGTAGCCCAGGCTGGCCTTGAACTCTTGGTGAGCCTCCTGTCTCAGCCTCCTGAGTGCTGGATCACAGACATGTGCCACCATGCCTGGGGGATTCGAACTCCAGCTCCCCTGCTATCTGCTCACCTTGTCCAGCTGCAGGTGACTGGGTCGAGGCTCTGGCTTTGAGGGGTGTCACCAGGAGGCTTCTGCTCCTTTGTGGGGGCCGAGTTCTGATTACCCCCAGCGGGACGGGTCCCCGCCCAGGACTCCTGCGACCTGGCCCAGAACTGCCGTGTGCCCTGGAAGCCCGTTCTGCACCTGCGTGCCCTCTCTTCAGGCCCTCGCAGCAGCCCATGGGCTCCAGGACAGGCTCAGCTCACAGGCAGACGGGCCCCATGCTCCAGGGACCGAGTGGGCCCCAAGCAGCCGGGACGGCGAGGTGCTCCTCAGGGAGGCCCCTGGCGCTCGGCTTGCAGCCCCAGAAGGACAGTGCAGCTGCAAGGGCAGCCTGGCAGCGAGATGCAGCCGGACTCCTCGGAGCCCCCGTCCGCAGAGCGAGCTTTAGAGAAGAGCCGGGGTCCTGCACGCTGACTTGCAGCACCCTACCTGCTCCCGGCTCTGCGCCCAAGGGTCAGGATCTCCTTCCTGGCAGCCAAAGCGCTCATGACAGAGGCAACCTTCAGGGCCTCAAAACGCCGCTTCCTCCGGGAAGCCGCTGTGACTGCACCTGTAGGCTGCCTCTCCCCCTCATTCCCCACTGGCCTGCGGGGCTCTTGCACCCTTTCCAAACCCAATCGCCACCTGCTCAGCCTGTGCATCCTGGGTCTTTTTTTTCTTTTTTTTTTTTTTTGAGACAGGGTCTCTCTATGTAGCCCAGGCTGGCCTCAAACTTGCAGCAATCCTCCTGACTCAGCCTCCTGAGTGCTGGGATCACAGGCGGGTGCCACCACGACAGGAATGACTCCTTTCCGACCCAGCTCCTGGAGGGCAGAGCCCAGCTCCCCAGGACGGGGACTTCGGACCCCGAGACGCGATCTGTTGCCTCAGGGAGAACACGGAACTTCCGACTCTTCGTCCATCTTCCTAAGAACGCAAGAGTCAGCAGACAGACATTCGCCGCGTGAACCCCGAGTTTAGGGTAGGTCGGGAAATAAAACGTGATCTTCGGGGCAGCACACGGGGCGGCACGGCTCCCTCCAGGTGGACCAGCGAGTGCCGCTGGGCGCATCCCCGCCAGGCCGTGGCTGGCGTCTGTCCGCAGAGACATGTGTGGGCACCTTCCCGTCTGCCCCCACCTTCGCCCACCCCCGGAGCCCACCCCAGGCCGGGCTGAGAACACAGGCCGGGGGCTGGGGCAGGCACTCTCCAGCCCACAGGGCCTGCGCAGCCCAGGGCTGACTCCACGTCTATCTTTGTCACCGCCAGCTGTGCCCCCTGGGTGTGGCCGGGCCGGGGCTGTCAGCTGAGGTTCCCCTGCCCTCCTCCAATCTATTTTTATAAAAGAGCAGATAAGAGGCAGACTTTGGGGACCCCCCTTCTTCTCCTTCCTTTGTCCCCAGCCCTCCCTTCGATGGTGAGACAAGACCCCGGCTCCCTGGTCCCCGCTGGCCCTCCCCAGGGACACTTGCGTGCGCTGGTCAAGCACACATGCATGACCGACTTCATGGGGGACTGTTCAAGCACAGGCTTAGCGAAGGTCTATATTTAGGCCAAAGCTCCGGAGTTCTATTTATTAACTTGTGCAACAGACATTGTGAGCACCTACTACAGGCCCGGCTCTGTGCTGAGGCCTTGGATTACAAACGTTAGACACTAGCTCCTTGGGGTCACCTTCCACGTCGTGATGGATGAGGCACCCTGACAGCCACACCAGGTGCAGAGCAAGGGTGGGGCATCAAGTGGAGGCCGGGAGACTTGTTCCTGGGGTGATAGGGGAGAGCTAAGTACAAGGTCTCCCAGAAGGCAGATTGTTGACTGGGTTTTGAGGGATGAGTAAGAGTTTGACAGGATGGCCTTTTCCATCTCATACACAGAAAAATGTGCCTTTGTTCACCCAGTGTCCAGCACATACTGATTGCCATACGTCCATAAAAGCAAAATCACACCTTTACAACCACAGACATCTAAGAACCGGTTGTAGCGCGGACCCTAATGAACAGCTGACGGGTGGAACTGCACTAGTTGCTAAGTTTCCGGCTGCTTTTCCACCCAGGAGCAATGATCTGTGTGGGGCAACTCCCCATCACGCCCCCACACAGGAAACCCGTGTGGACAGCCGTGGTGCACGTGCGCGGCTTTCTCTCGGATTAACACACTCACACCCACAGAACCAACTGTGCCGAGAGGCCACGGGTGAGAAGCGGACTGCAAGCCGCGGCTACGAGCGCGCCGTTCATCCTTGCGGGCATCCCCGTGTCACCGGCCCGGGGCTGAAGCCTCCGGCACCCTGGCCTTCCTCCGGTCGCACCCCAAGTTCACTCCGAAAGGGAACTGGGTCCCAGCACTCCGCGGGAACTTGGCGGCGGCGCCCAGGGCGCCCAGACCCGGCGGGTGCAGACCCAGGGCGCCGGTGTCCAGGTCCACCCCCAA